TACTAAAAACAATTTCAATATTTAAATACACGACTGGCTTTGGGCACTTCATTCTAAACGATTAAAATAATTTATTCGTACACCGGCAACTGTCAAACATGTTGATCAAGAAATAATATTAATTAACATCTTTATGCAAATAAAATATATTGTATCCATACTATTATTAAAAAATGCGTGTGTGTGTCTGTCTGTTACCTCTTCACGCTTAAGCCGCTGAACCGATTTAGATGAAATTTGGTATAGAGATAGTCCGAGTCTCGGGAAAGGTCATAGGGTAGTTTTTATCCCAGAAATCATACTTTAAGGGCGTGAAAAGAGGAGTGGAAGTTTGTTAGGGGAATCAAGAACCGCTGAACCGATTTAGATGAAATTTGGTATGGAGATAGGTACTTTGATTTTTGATGAAAGACATTGGCTACTTTTTACCCCGATAACCGATATTTATTGGGAAAAACTCGACTGCGTGAAAAGCCATCTAGCCGTTTACTCTACAGAGCTTGCCAAATAAATATACATACATACACACATACAATTGAAAGACTTCTAGCACAGTCGGATAATATGAAAAAAAAAAGAAATGGGAAATTTTATTCAATGAACGATTTCGTATTGTACATGTTCAAAAATATTTTATCTCAAAACTCTGGGCTAAAAAGTTCATATCGTATGCAGCGCGGAATGTAGAAAAGCATTTAAAAACAAAACAAGGCAATAAATTCTTTTCCAATCGTGTAATTGCATATTTATATTAGGTCATATAAAACGTGCGATACCGCTAATCTTCTGCACTATTCTTCTGCGCTATTTATTAATGAATATGTAAACGTCACACCTTTTATTAATGAAAGGGTGTACAGAGCTATATCCCTCAAATTTCCACAGCAATTTTTTTTAATTTACTTCGCTAAAACTAAGAATTTCTTAAAGGGAAAAATAAAACCAATAAAAATTGGTCTGAACTAAGAATCGCAGTCTAGCGCACAGAATTGTACCATGATCTTCAGTTCAGTTCTTTCAAAGTATATAATTATCTTGCTATCCTACTCGTATACTCAAATTCATTCCCAATCAGCGCAATTTATAACATTTTCAGAGGTTTTGGCTAGTTTCCTGGGCTCAACAGCCAACCTGACGCAAATCTTTCATGAAAATGTAATCGCTTTTATATGAAACAGATGAAGAACTGAAGAAGATAAAGTGGAATAGAAGTAGGATAGGAACGAAGAAGATGGGGTGAGAAAGCTACTGTTATAATGTTGATCATCATTTAAAATAAAACATATTAGATGGTCTTCAAGTATATTATGATTAATATATAAACAGTGAACTTCCGTAAGTACATCATGAGCCTGTAATACTGTCTCTATCATCACAGTCCCTCTGCACTCTAGGGATGTGTACACTTCCATAGACTATATTTAATCTACTCGACTATTACTTATAACAGCTAATGATAAGAAATTGAACTGAGATTGCGGTGACTTTGGAAGGCCGAAGTCACGAACTCGTAATGTCCTGTATTTGAAGACGCCACTTTTTATTGGTATAACTCGATAGAGAAGTGCGTTGCCGCAAAGAGTTAGGGAGAGGGGAGGGTTGGACTTTCAAATGTGAAAGGAAGTGAGAGGAAGGAAAGAATGACTTAATAACTTGGTATCATTCCGGTCGAGCTGGCCCTTATGGGCACAATCATGGCTCTGATACGGTGAAGTGCACTAAGACAGGGACATCTGTATGCGACTGCTGTGATGCGGTCTGGGGTTCGATTCCCGGGTCGAACTAAATGTTTGTATGATCTGCGCATATTTGTTTCGGAGTTTGGGTGTTTTCTATGTTAAAATATATGTCTAATGTAATGTCTAAATACTCGTATAAGTATTCCATCTAGCTTTCATAGTACAAGCTCTACTTAGCTTGAAACAAGATGGCGTTATTTGTCAGATGTCCGAAAAATGTGACGGTGACGGATCAAGATTACGGAAAGTCCCCACCCCTATTCATCCCGTGGGTGTCTACTACTACTTAAGAAAACAGCACTGCAAAGAGAAGGAAAACTTGACAAAAACCCTATACCAACCCGTCTTGCCAGCGTGGTATAGTAGGCCAAAACCTCCTTTCTAAGAAGAGGCCTATGTCCAGCAGTGGACTATTAAAGGCTGTTGATATGATGATGTTGATGACTCGAAAAAACTTGATTATAAGGCACACTAACAAACTGTAATACAGCAAATAACACAATCAAGGGTAATTTCATAAGCGCACGACTTTTATATGAAAATATACGACGGACATAATATTTTCATAGCCTAGTCGAATCACTCCTGTACCTACTGTAAACAAAATTATATTTACATAAATGATTCGTTTCTGCATATTTTTTGTATTTCTATCAACACAATAATAACATGACACATTTCATACAAGGAAGTCTGATCAAAAAATAGGCAGAGCCTGTGCTATGGTAATCAGACAACTCCGTATGTCTTACTAAAAGCAGTTCCCGGATCCCTCTTATTACAGGCGCAGAGTGGCACACCGTGTGTTTTTAGTCGGTCCGATTCCGACACACCACGCCGCCGCAAACCTGAGGGGGCTGCCACACGTAAATGGTAACCAGAAAGCTAATAAAGTTACTACATGTATACATATTATAGATCAATTACGCCAAGACGGAGCCAAATAATAACATCTTATCATCAATTGCAAGCCACTTAATTTGATCCTCGGCTTCGAAATGATATATTTGTTTAACCATGACCTTTAGAGAAAGTGACCTGTTTTTTATTTACTCCAGAATATTTGAAAATAAATATTTTTATGAGCCTAATGTAGGTAGGATGATAATATAAAGAATTTGAAGGTGTGTACTTACAAGTTTATGAGAGCTAAGATAATTATTTGATATAAAGCTTTATAGTGATTATTTCTTTATCACTATAATAGTACTCCATTTAAATATACATGATTAGATCTATGATTTATATTATTCATGGTAGGAGAGGTGGGGTCCCTGATTAGAAGACATCAAGCTACTGACAACTAAAGCAGCACTCCCCTAAAGTCTTACTGCTTGTTTTTCAGAATGGAGAGACATTGTAACTACTCCTTCTCCTCCTACCTTTCTCAACAAGATGGCTGACCCTAGATTCTTCCACATTATTGAACATAATCTGATTCAGAGCTCTGGAAATCCTAAACTGTAATCTGTGCTCTCAGAAAGTGTAAGAAAAGAAATCATTAAATTTACAAGGGTTATCTGTGGGAGACTTGTTCCATTACAAGTAATTGTGCACCTAAATGTTTAATAACAATCAAACTAAATAGATGATACCAGAGTATTATACTTGATCACTAAAAAGATTTGTGACAAAAAAATTGGCAATACAAAGGAATACTGGTAAATATCTATGGCTGAGACAACTGCAAATAATTTTTCAAGATGCAGGTAGATAAATATATTTCAGAAGAAAGATTGTCTAGAAGATTGACAGTGTAGCATGGGTTTAATTTGTAGCTTAGATCAGTTTGGAATTCACAGTATATTAAGAAAGTAGGTAATTCTATAAAAATAAACATTATGGCTACAGTTCAAGGTCTTCAAATTTTATATTAATTGTTGTATAAAATGTTATGATAAGTCATTAGTTGGAAAACAAAGTTTTGTAGAGGTAATAAAGCTTACAAGAACAATTTTTAACACTGTTAACTGTTTGAGAAAACCTTAAAATGTCCTACAAATATTTATTTATTATGATATATGTACCTATATGTATACTAGCTGGTGACTCTGCTTCTCTCATAGGGAATAAATTTATTCCATTTTTGCAACATTTTGTTACTCTGCTCCTATTGGTCATATTGTGATATGATATAGTCTAGCCTTCCTCAATAAATGGGCTATCCAACACTAAAAGAATTTTATAATTTGAACTAGTAGGTTCCTAAGATTAGCGAGCTCAACCAAACAAATCATCTCTTCAGCTTTTTTATTTTTTTATGAAAGATTGGGCAAACTAGCAGACAGGTTACCTGATGGAAAGCGACTACCTCCGCCCGTGAACTCAAGAGTCACAAGCGCGTTACTGGCCTTTTTTCATATAATTTTATACTTTTTTAGTTTTCAGTTTCTATTTTGGCAATCAAAAACTATATAACTTGATTGAATGTAATTGATGTCAATTGCATATTGACATTACATGCTGTTAATTTAAACTTATTTCATTTATTACAGGACAGTACTGTATAAACAAAGAAATAATGTCAGAATGTTAGTTCTTTGTTTCTACGTCTGTAAGTGACACAGGTGAAGTTGTGCGGGTCAGCTAGTAGTAATTAAAAATAAAATTGTGTTACTATATTTATGTAAAACTATATACAAACCATATCTTTTCATTGTTAATAAAATAGATGCTTAAGTATTTATAAAATAGAAAAGATGTGAAGATTTTCTGTGTGTGTGTGTGTATGTAAAGATAACCAGTCAGTTTATTGGGGCAACTTATACAGAACAGTTCTAGGAGTGATTATGATTTTTGTACAAATAAAGTTACAATTTGAGGATAATTAGGTACTTTCTTATTGAATATAAGATCTATGACTTTCAAGAAAAGACATAGAGATTACACAGATTAAAATTTACTCAATCAGAATTAGCATTTCTAGAACTTTCTAAACCTTCTTACTAATATGTGTTTGTAAGTCTAGTAGTGCACTGCTGATAATTGAACATGTTGGTTACTTGTAGTTAGTGTTGCGGATATGTATATAACCAAACTAGTCAAAGATTTAGAAAAATGGGAAAAAATACACTAGTTTTACTTATTTTTTACAAGATAGTAATAATCTTTGTTTAGAAACCAACAAGTTATGAGAGAAATGGTTAGTACAAAGTTTCCAAAATATGTGTAAAAAAGTTTCCAAACCATATTTTTTTTATTTTACGAATATAAAAAAGTTGAAAGATAATTTTTGGATAGTCATATTAAAAATATACTTACGTCTCAGTCCTTTTGCAACGGACACCGTAAAGTTGTTTAGCACAGACATCTTCGGAGATCACTTAAATACAATTATCATAAAACTATTAATTCAAAGTCTCTTTACGAATGTCTTATCTACTGTTCTAAGCGCAAATTTCAATTTGTTTATAAAGTTCGATATCTCGTACACAAATCACAGAATTATTGAAGAAACACGTCGTTTTCCTATCACTTACGGAAAGCCACTGACGTTATTTTATTCATGAAATTGTTATTCATTAAAGAGAGGCGTGGTGATTAGATTAAATACACAGCTATTATTTCTCATGTAAACGAACGTTGATAAGCAATCGTCACTGTCGTTTATTTATAGAAATCCCGTTGCTCAGAGTTAACGTTTTATTTGACAAAGACAGCTGTCACTAGCTAGTTGGTTGACATGTGAATAGCGACACTGACAGCTGACGTCGATGCTAACTTAGCGTCGACCTCAGCTGTCAGTAATTATCTCTTGTTGACGTTGATATAGTTCGTTCGGAATTACCCATAAAACGAAGTAACTTATCGTTTTAAAAGTACTAGTAAATCGCGTGGATGCGGAATTAAGCCATTTTATAAAACATTGTTTTATAAAATACCTAAGGCTAGCTACCTTACATGAACTGGAAGCTATTCTGCACATACACATTATCTGTGTATGTCTAGAATAACTTCCTATCTTTTCCTAGTATAATAACAGCAGAGACATCATCTACAGAACAGTGTTTCTAGACTTGAAAAACTACCCTGCTCTCCCTATTTCTTGAATACTAATGGAGTTACTTGTTTGCCTCACAATAAAACTTTAAAATATGTATACCTTCCTACCCTTAACTCTTCTAATAGGTACTAAAGGCAGAGGCAAGGTACCTACATTTCCCTATGATGAATAAATATAAGTTTGCCTACTAAGTTTTACTTTATTATCGTAGTGCAACATCATTTTCATTTAGGAATCTCCATTATATTTGCAGGGAATGCGTTGCTCTCATACGTCACAGAAAGTCAGTTACAGTTCTTGTATGTAGTAAGTCCGTTTATATTTCATATTAATCTATAAAAAGTGACAGATATCTTAACTTAATCATCAACAGCCTATAATAGTGCTGCACTGATGGACATCGGCGTGATGACACAGATCCCGTCGGGGTGATAGGGATTTCCTTCCTAGGATACACCTGGTTCCCTGGCTACCAGTTGCCCGAGACGGCGTCCGGTTTTTAGTCGGTGCGTGCCGATATAACCACCGGTCGAAATGTCCGAAAAAACCTCTTCTTCGAGAGGAGCTTTTGACCTTTATACCACACTAGCCAGACGGATTGGTATAAGGTTTTTGTCAAGTTGACTGAGTAGTTTGCCCCCTTAGTCGGCTCATACGACACCCACGGGATGAATAGGGGTGGTGACACTCCGTATTATTAATCCTTTACCACACCATCTAAACTTAAATTCGAAAAAAAAGAACAAAAAAGGGAAAAACGAAAACGCAATTATTAAAGTTTTAGTTGACTTGTCACTCGTCATGGGTAAACGAATAAAACAACACATAACTGGGTACTTGTATATTAGTTCCATTATAAAATAGCTAATCAACGATACAAGCAATAAATAACAAATTCAACAACACTATTCACTTGACTCACCTTATTTACAATATTATGAGAATTCTTCACAAACTACCTCTCCTAAAAAATTTAAGACTTCCCGCCAATATTTAACCAAAGAGCTTTAGTTACTCCTTACATTGTCAAACTCATGGTTAAAAATAAAAAAAATATTTTTTTTAAACTTAAATACAAAATAAACAGAAAATTGGCTACTTTAGAAATCATATTAGTCTCGATTTAGCCGAATGTAAAGTAAATTTTATTATAAGTATTGTTTTCTTTAATCGGTAAATAAAATTAAAGCACACTGGAATTTTTGCTTGTAGTGATTTTACAAATATTACCAAATAGTAGCCAATTCTCTAACGTTACTGTTACTAATGCGTGTGCTATGTATTTTTATTTTCTGTAAGTATTTTTTGTTAATTTTCATAAAATTATTATAGTACAAAACATAACCAGATACATTCTAATATACATTAAATATTTTAAATGATGCCAAAATGTTAGTCTAGGAATGTCTAAGGGTTAAATAAATATTAATATTTTAGAACAATAATAATTCTGACTGACTGATAAGTTGCTTTTTAAGGGACAAGTTGCAGGAAACGCATTTCTTCTGCGACTCTTGTTAGGATTCTATCCATCCATTTTAGACTCACGAACCAATAGTTTAAGATACAATTCTCATTGTCATTGAATTTACCAGAGAATAGTTACTTAATAACTTTTGATCCAATATCTGTATAAAATTTTATTAAATAAAATCATACAGTTAAAAACAAAATCAGAAGATACAATGACAGTACAACCGACCCGCCATTTTAACTCAGATAAAGTTATTTTTATACTTAATTACAAAATGGCTATTTCAAAATATCTGCATCAATTTGATATAACCTTTTTTTATTTTAACAAGGATTATTATATTGTAATGGGTTGTAACAATATTATTAAAGCATAGAGTAAGAGTAATTATAATATAATGTTCACGTCTACCGCCATCATGGTTGGAAAAACTATGTAAATCTTATTTAATTTTATTACTCTTACTATAAACTCGCATAAATTCCAAAAAAAGTTCTTTTTTAACTCTGGCCAAGACACATGCTCAAATGTTTTCTTTTTTTATTATAATTTAAAATAATAATGATTAATAACATTAAAAGACGTAGGTACGAAGTTAAGGTTACGAAGATAAGAGGACAGAGAGTCGAATAGATGAAAAGTAAACTTAATATTCCAGATGTCTAGAAATATACCTTCTTGCGTATAATTGTTCAATCTGGGCAAAGTCGGGTCGGGCTATTTGTAATATGACATATTTAATAGTAGCTAAGTAATGCCGTACCGAAGACAATAGGATTACCCGCAGTAAATAAAATTGACATTGAAGTTTCTTCCTAAATGCAATCATCTTTGTTTAACGCAAATTAGTAGGTTGACTAGAGAACAAAGCATATTTAAAGCATACGTTTTGAAGAGAGAATTAGAATATGGAATTTTAGTATTAGCATTCTACTCTGGATACGAAAGTTTTTTATTGAATAGGAGGCAAACAAGCAGATGGGTTACCCGACGGAAAATGACTCCTCCTACATATAGACGCCTACAGCTCTGGAGTAACAAGCGCGTTGCCGGCTTTGAAGTAAATCTTTTAGCAGTTTTGATAAACATCGCCTGCCTGATAGAAAGTAGTAAATAATACCTATATATCTTCTATCAAAGGGCAGAAGATATTTAGGTATACAAGATATATAGGTAGTACGTGTCGGTTAGCTTTAAATTTTCTATAAAATGAACACGTTTTTATACCACTTAGGTTTTAAAACGATGAACAAAAAATTTGTCATATTTTTTTGTCGAACACTCGAATTGCAATATTTCGACTGCCTGTTGCACACTGAAACATGGAGTGTATAATAAAATAAGGTATTATCTGGTGGAAATTTAACTAATAACTGACAAAGATAAATCAACCATCTACCCTTGATTTATCTCAAGGAATTGACTTAGATAAGGTGTGTAAACCGAACTTGCTAAATATTGAACTGCTCACCAATATTAGTAATTTCCAATCTTAATTTGGCACAAAGCGATCATCTATTAAGGGTACCTTCATAGAATATTATGGAGCTACCTATACCAGATAAGGCTGTTTATAAGATGTTGAAGGTTTTACTGTGATTTTTAGTAACTACTAATTAACTAATAAAAAAGTATTACCGACTTCAACGTGTCTACATCATTTATTCCTTAATTTGCCGACCTTAGATGTAGCAGTATGTAGTAGTACATTTAAAGAAAATCACTTCTAATGGAAAGTACCTATATCTCCCTCCCAAACGAAAACAAAATCACATTCGGTTCATAAATGACTGAGTTAGGAATAACAAACATAAAAAAGTAACCTGAATTGTGAACCTCTTCCTTTGTTTGAAGACGGTTAACAAATACCGCACATTTGTAATGTAAAAGCTCTGTTTACTCTGCACGATCGATTTTCTTTTTAAAAATGACCGGAGAAATACTTTTATGTAGCAAATGTATATCGGCAGTGCAATACGCATCTAAACAAATGAAATAATTTTATAAGTTTCGGGTAAATTCGTCAACTAATAAATTTACTTAAACCGACTTCTTTTTACATTTTTGTTTCATCAAATTTGTTATTTGTTTATTTCTCAAATAACTTCGGGCATAAAAAAGCTATGAACGACTCTCGACGCAATTAAGTCCCTGGACCTTATAAAGTCCTCGGGCGCCGTTAAGTCCTTGGACGTTATTAAGTCCTCGGATGTTATAAAGAGTCTAGACACTATGAAGTCCTTGAACGCTATTAAATTCTAAGAATTTAAAGATCGTGGAGGTTGTGTAAATAAAATAAATTAAATTAGAGCTAATTAATATTAAGTACAAGCCTGACAAATAAATATGGATTAAAACTATAAAGATTCGTTTACAAGTAATAGAATTTATGATTCGATGAAATGTTTTTGTTTTATTATATACGCGGCAAACGAGTAGAAGGGTCACCTGATGGTAAGTGACTACCACCTCCCATGGACACCTAAAACTCAAGAGTCACGAGTTAAATACCGCTCCCCTAAAATCGGGTAAATAAAATTCAACAAAATTATTTGTTTAACAGCGGTTTTCTGTGAGGCCGTGTAGACTCTAATGTGGCGAGGTTTATGTGTGGACCACGTGAAATACTCGTATTTCTAACCTATTTATTTTACTTGGAAGAAACGACCATAAATAATAAATTCTACCTAACTGCCTAATTACTTACAGTTAAGAAGCGAAACCTTGGATAATACCTTATAGGGCTCAAAAGGTGATGAATTATAGGGCAATTGTTTGTTTCTCCTAGCAAAATTGTTTTCTTTTATTAAGTATTTCTTACAAAACAGTATTTTTTTTCAACGGGGAGATAAAGGTGGTTCGTTGTAAACAGATAAGAAGCTGACATTCTTTAGCAGTTTGCTAAAATTGTTAACTCTATAACGACAGGATCTATAATACCATCTATGCTATCTAAATGTAGACTATTTAGCAAATGGAACATATAATTTCCTAGGTTTTGTTACCAATAACATTAATAAATATAAAGAGGCAGTAGATGTGTGATTTTACCACGAATGTTTAAATGTTAAAATTGCAGTGTGAGGAACGGTCACCTCTTGTCCAGACAGTTCAGTCCTGTCAGTTCTCACAATGCAAAATTCCAATGACCAATCATGTTAAAAGCTTTGTACGAAACGATAATTTCTTGGAACCTGATTGGACATGGGGCGGGGCTTCGTCGATGCGTCACTAATTTCTTAACGCGAATGGTATACATATATATATATATATATATATATATACTATTCGGATATGTAAGTTTACAAGTTGAAAGTTTAAAAATCTATCGACTGACATTTATGATTCTATGATTCATTTATGATTTCTATTCTATGATCTTCGACTGACAATATAATTTATATTGTAGACTGTGTTTCTTGATTGGGGATAAGATTCTGCCTCGTTAGAATTATCAATAGTATTGTTGAAAAATATAGAGAAAATAATTTGAATAATTTATACATTTAAAAAGGCACGTAATTCATGTTGTATTTTTAACTTTTTTTTTAAATTATTTTATTGTAAAAAGCTAATCCACATAATTCGACCACTTTAGAACGAGCTAGGGAATTACATGAAACATGTCAAATTTTTATATTTATTTAATTGTAATTGTAAATATTTTGTTTATGACATGACATAGACAATAATTTACAAAGGCCACAAAAACGATATATATTTTTATGATTGTTAAATTATATATATGATGATATTATTATTTTCAATGACATTTTCTTTAAAAAATGCATCTAATGTTCTTAATTTGAAATGTCAATTTTATGCTTTTATATAATCTTGGGTCAGAATTATGCGGTATTGCGCAAAAACCGTATCATATTCGTAGATACTCTATGGTTCTAATTTTGAAGTCGCCAAGGCTTCCACTGCGCATATCTAAGTTATTTTTATTATTCTCTCAATACTAAAGTAGGATACTACTAGAACAGTATCGAGTTCTTGAGAATGTTATGACAAATATAGACATATGCATACACACATACAGTCACGCCTATATTTGCGTAGCTGTAGGCAGAGATTTATTGGATGCTGTAACATTGCCATTATAAATATAATGAAATTTCATCGCTTAAATAGTATTTAATATTAAGTGCACTCACAAGTAAGCGCCCGTTCTTAAGTAGTCTTGATATAAAATGACAATATAATAATAGTTTTTATTGTCAGTCGTCAATAAAGACCGCCAACCGAGATCCAGCGGGAAATTAGTCTCAATCTAGCGAACTACTTGTTTTACACCTTATATGTATAATACAGATGGAGGGTTTGATAAAGATTAAAGCCTGGGGCAATTTATACATATAACTAGCTGAATCGCGCTGCTTCGATGGCATCCCTCAAAACGATTAAATATGCCCCGTTTTAGCAATTTTTTTATGCTCCACTGGTCGATTAGACCTTCTCCGCTAAATGAGCTATCCAACAGTAAAATATTTTTTAATTCGAACCAGTAGTTTCTAAGATTAGGGCATTCAACCAAACAAAGTCTTCAGCTTTATAACATTAGTATAGATAATTGGGAGTAGCGTCGGTTATGAAGTCAAAATGGTTCCGCATGTTTAGGCACTGCTATGGGGATGTTAATTAAGGCAGATATAATAATTGATTTAAGGAGAACAGGTTGGAATACAATGATTTTTTATGTCTATTGGGTACCCGTGGGAGTCAGTGAATATCTTAGTTTTTTATGTTATAGGGGGCAAACAAGTAGAGGTCACCTGATGGTGAGTGGAAACCCCCCTCAACCCCCTCGCCAACCAGGGGTATGTGGAAAAGGGTTTGGCTTCTGGTAACCTCAATTACTCGGAGAATGGCTTAACACCGGTTTTCTGTCAGGTATCACTCCAGTTGAGCCGGTCTGAATGAGCCAAAGCATGGTTTGACAGCAAAGGTCCAGTTTTAAAGAAATATTGATAGTAGGTATCAAGGAGTACGTATTTTTAAGTAATAAAACTTATTATCTACTAGATCGAGACTTGAACACAAAAAAATATAAATAAAATTACACAAATAAACTGTATGCCCATTCCGCCACACATTTGACTGCGGTTTATTTGACAGTGGAAAGTGGACTTTATTTTTAATTCGTTAAAGATTAAAATTGCTCGAGGATTTTATGATGCTCGAGGATGTGTTGCATTGTGGTCAAAAGTAGTTCTCTCCAATGGAAATATTTAAAAATTACATTTAATCAGTTAAAAGTTGTAATGACTGAATTTATAGTAGTTTAAAGTTATTTTGACTAACAACGATCAAAACCACTTTTAATCACAAATTTATAGTCAAAATCACTATTGCAAGTACGGTCAAAACTGCTTTTAACCTATCTATTCGAGGTTGCTCTTGGCAATAAGGCCGCCCTTGTACATTGTATGTCTAATATTTTTATGTAACGTACTACTTTGTAAAACCATGTATGAATAAAGAGTTTTCTAACTATTCAGTACAAATAATTTTACTGTAGCATAAAAACTAAAATCTATATTCCGATTATTATTTATGTTATAACTACCAAGATCATTTGACAAAACGAGAGCTAGGAATGGAATAATGTGACTAATTTACAAAGTCACTGCGACTTATGATGATGATTACGCGCCAGACTCGCGAAAGGTCTAAAAATATCGTAGTCTTTGAAAAAAAATGTCTATGACCAAATCATAGTAGTGATTTATAACATGTTAAATCGCAGTGACAAAAACCAATCATTTCATCATATGTTATGATTCAAAAGTAGCAACTATTTCCATCCCCAGTAGTAGCAGCTGATGTGTAACATCTGACATCTTACCTCACCTCATTGGTCAAACGAAATATAGAACGCTTCACCGGCTTCATGTACACCAAGGTTCCTTTTCACGGTCTCACTCCCACACAGTACAAGAAAGTGAGAGGAAAAATATTACACATCAAAAACCGATCAAGTGCGAGTCCAACTCGTGCGCCGAGAGTTCCGTACTAACCTACCGATCTTATAAGGGTTCTTTTTTTACCTTTTGAGGAACGGAACCCTAAAAATCAATACATATAAAATTACTTGCTTTCACTGACTGATTTATCAACGCAGAGAATAAACCGCTAGGGCTACAAACTTGAAATTTTGGCAGCTGATGCTTTTTATGTCCTCTCGCTAAGAAACTCGCACTCACTAAGAAAGGATTTTTGGAAATTTCGCTCCTGGGGTAAAATAAGTAGTAAATTTATAGGTCTACTAGCTGACCCGGCAAACGTTGTATTGCAAAACAAAAAAAAATTAGGGATGGGTCACCCTTACCATTTAGGGGTATGAAAAATAGATGTTGGCCGATTCTCAGACCTACCCGATGTGCACACAAAATTTCATGAGAGTCGGTCAAGCCGTTTCTTAGGAGTACGGGAACGAACATTGTGACACGAGAATTTTATATATAAGATAAATGATTTAAATTTGTATTAAATAAGATACGTCTTTTATACCTTAGTAATATTGCTTTTGTTCAATTAATCTTGTTTGGATCGGATACACGTTACATCGAAAGCTGTTTTTAAAGTGTCTGTAATAGATCCTAGACTATCCTTTACCTTGTGTGTATCAATATCGAACTTCACATCGTGCGCGCGCATAGGCTACTCGCAGGCGTTGTGAGTTTTTTTTAATATTCTGATACACGAATATAAATACCTATTAAGATATTTTCTTTAAATGTCCAGACCAATGCAAATAGAAGTATTCATGTATACAAATATTTGCAGTCAGTAATATTTTAATCTTCATCCAACTAAAAATAAAGTCCATTTTTCCTCTATCAATATCCAACAATATTCTATGTTACCTCTCACAGTTGCTGTTCGATAATGAGTCTTTGTTTAGTAACAATAAGTTCTAAATTGACAATGTCACTCAGTCTTCTTTCTTCTCCTGTACGGGTTTCGGCGACTCCTCCGCGGAGGGGGGACGATCCGATTCATTTTCTGAGCCTGGAAATTGTGGGTATATTTTAACTTTTTTACACTTTCATTTATATAGTATGTAATTTTTGCTTTATATTAGACATACCTGGTCAGCGAATTTAGACCATAATGCACTAAGTTTCAATAATTTTATGTCATTACCAGTCTAACTTGAACTCTCACAATATGGAATTTCCATATCATGATAGGTCAACGTATACACCTACTAGATCTGTGGTCGTGTAGGAATATTTTTTTAACTTTACCTATTGATAAGAAACTTTATAATTCCAATATAAATTAAGTACAGACCTATACCCAAACTAGGGAGCGATAAGATAAATTAAATAAATGAATAATAATAATAATCTCCTTTTTCTTCCTACCCATTTCCCAAATGTACTTTTGGGATCTGTGCAATGAGTTTTCTCCTTCCATTCTCATCGATCTCTGGACATTCTCTTTCACACACTTCGTCAATTCATTGCGAAATGGTTTCGGTTTTTTCTTTTAAGAAATAAACGACCTATAAATGTTTAAATATACATACCAGGTTCTCTGGAAGCGTCTCCAACATTCTTTTCTTCATCACTTTCACTGCCCGAACTGGGTATCGAGGATTCGTCACCACCACCTTAAAAAGACATGAGATATTTATACTGAAGGCTGCTTCCTATCACATTGGGATCACCACTGTGGAGGCGAGGTGATCATGCCTGGCGGGCCGCGGCCCAACGGTTGATGTTCGGAATTTGTATTTGTATATGCTAATCGGCGAGAGAATTGCTCATATCGCGATAAAGGATTAGCAGTTACTCTGTAGTTCGGTGTGTTTTGGCTTGATGGCGCTGTAGTATGTTTTAAGTCGCCACAATACAAATAGCAGAAGTGTACTATATCGCCTATCTTCAACAGTGTAGTTTAGGCAACACACTTGTGTCTCTTTGAGTTGTATGTGTCTATGAGTGGCGGTAGTCACTTACCATAAGGTAATCCGTTTGCTGTATCCCCTCTATATTACGAAGTAAAATGATTTTTGTTACTCAACGTTACGATTAAATTGCAATGATCGTCGTCACTAGAGTTAAAAAAAATACGAAAAAGATTGTCGAAGATTGAGTGTCGCCTGTACTGTAGTACTAATAAATACGAGGGAGTCTTAAAGTGTTTCTTAAGTTGTTTGATGACCAAGTCATGTAACATCTGAAGGTCAATGGGGTTATTGCTGCAATATTATAAAAATATATCAATGCCTCTCTTTTTTTTCTTAAACCTAATTTGCCGTTTCCGGCAGGGTCTAACCACTAGACCAACAGGCTAGTCAATTGAAGTGAAAACTTCTTTAGTTGCGTTGTACACTTTTTTGTAATGGGTAAAAAATGTTAAACTCGCGTCAGGACACGTAACCCAGATCGAAAATTCGTAAGACGGATAGAGAGTAGACAGCCGGCGCGGCGTAGAAGAGGAAGTATCCCCCTCACTTTCTACGGCGCGGCGAAAATGTATGCCTGCGCCTGCTGTTTCGTTAGGCGGCGAAGGGCGCTTGCGCGAATGTTCGTTTATCTGAGAGATAAACTTTTTTTATAGGTAGGTAAGGTAGACTACCGCTACCCATGGACACCTGAAACTCAAAAGTCACAAGTGCATTGCTGCCTTTCAAGCCTGCCCCTCCCCCCTTTAGAAAATGAAGGGAGCGGAATTGGGGTCCGGTAACCGTACTCCGTTGAATGTGGAGTGTAATGAAGGTCAGCGAGTGCCCTCACCGTTGAGAGCGCGCGGCTGCAGCGCGGGCAGGGCGCGCGCGGCCAGCAGCGGCGCGGCGGGGCGCTGCTTGCGCGCCGGGTTGTGTCGCCCGCAGTACGCGCACACGTACGACACGTACTCGAACTCCTCCGCCATCGCCATGCCTGGGGGCGGTACAACGTGCACACTCACTCTACAGGATTTATGCCGTTTTACTAAGTTAAATTATAACTTAAATATAGTATATAAAGCCATTCTTCTATATCTCGAAAATAGAATATATTTCGAAATTAACGATACCTCAAATCCGTACAAAAGGTACATGAAACATTCTTCATAAAATTTAGCATACATTCATGAAATTTTGATGAATAGTAAAGAAATGGAAGTTTAACAACACAAAGTCAATTACTCATTAATAATAGCAATTAGAATTGAAGTAGACTAATAATGAGAAACGTACTAATTAACATACTAATAACACTAAAACCACGATAAAAATCAATTTTTGCGTATCATTTTCTAAAACATGACGGGCCTGTCGATTTAATGATTAGTGGCCTTAATTGTTAGGGGGTCGCAGCTTCGATTCCCACTCAATCACATAGACCAACAAGCCAGTCAAACAATTTTGTGAGTTGTACTCACCATTATGTGAAAAGCATTCAGAACATATTAGTGCCATGCGATGGTTAGGCCCATCTTTTAATAAATAGTCCACAACTTTGTCCAGCGCTGAGCGGTTCTTGTCTGGCAGAGGGCGAGGCAGTTGATCAGACTGGAAATAACATATATATTATACATAACAGTAATGTTACGTCATCACTGTCATCGAAAGTGTGGCATTCACATACATCAAACAAGCTCAAAGCCTTCTAGGATCTAAATATTTTAAATCGTTTGTAGATATAGCTACCTAGATGGCTTTTGCCGGATTAGACCTTGGTCTATGGTTCAAAATCCTGTGCGAATCGGGGCTATATTACAAAAAGTAGTATCAGGACACTCCTATGGAAACTTCCTGTAAACCAAAAGGCAATTACCCTTAACATCAGCCTAGCTGATTCCCTGGTTGCAACAAATATGTCACTGTGATCAAACTCTGTATAGTTTCGTAGTCTAACATAACCGTCGTTGATCTTCGATCACAAGACGGACACACGGCGACCCTGGCCTTTTCAAACTACTGCTGCATTCCGTTTCCCATCTGAGAGTTGTCAGCTAAAACACTTTGCACTGATACACAATTTTTTGCGTTTAGAAGCCGCCTTGAGCCGTTATCCCACCGGGGTTTGTGTCGGAATCGAACCGACTAAAATCACACGTTATGCCATAATGCGCCATAAATAGAAGGGATCCGGGCACAGCTTTTATTAAGATATCTGGACCCCTCCTAGCGGTCCTGGCGTAGTGTCTGTGCCGAACTTGAATAAAATTGGATGAAGTCTCTAACAAACTCTATCTTAGACCTCTAACGAATTGGTGATGCTATTAAAAAAAAAGATTCATATAAGTGTACTTACTCGAAGTCTGGGACCTTTGTATATAGCAGTTGGGGAGTTCATGATGGGCACGAGGTTCCTGTTATTAGAGAGCGGAGTGGACGTCAAAGCCAGCTGTCTCTGACGAAGCTGGCCTGGAGTCGCTGCAATAGACAGTTTAGAAGACACTGTTTTAGAAAGGTAGTAGGTAGAAAAGTGTTTAACATTTTGTCATTATTGCCAAATTAATTTGACTGAATGTTTTGTTTTCCTTTTCTTTTTAAAAATATGGTGTTCACGATCGCGGTTGCTCTTTAATGCCAGGGCACATAAAGGTTAACTTTCTTTTAACTGGGCACCCCTCCATTTAAAGGCTTGGTACTTACAAAATTGTTTAACATCGACTTTTTCACTCCTTCTTGTCTTTACGTTATTTTAAGGTATACAGGGCATACGAGCAGACGGGTCACCTGATGGTAACTGACTACCGCCTACACCCATGGACGCCTGCAGCTCCAGAGAAACAAAAGTGATGCCACTCTAAGTCACCTCTCCCACCAAGAAAAAGAGGAAGGGGTGAGCTTTCGGTAACTTTACTCACTAGGTGAAGAGCAACGAAAGAATTGCTTAACACTGATTTTCTGTGAAGCTGTGGCATCACTCTGGTCGAACAGAAGATCAATTCTCGTAGTAAAAGTTCGGTCACAATTCATATAACTGTCATAAGGTATTTTCTTAGTAAAGTATTAAACATCCAACGTTGACTGTAATTATATCTCTTTGTAAACGAAAATCGAATCGGTAATCTGCTAGTCTTAATAATACTTTACTACGAAAATACCTTTTATTACCTTTTTTTTTTAGTTGCGAGATTAACTCTTTATACATTCCACCCCTCTGATATGCCACTACAGTGTAAATTGCTTTCACCGGTAAGCACTGTACTCTGTTAAGAGTTGATCGAAACTGAATTTTCATCAAACTTTTATCACTAGGATTGGCCTTCAGACTTCAGGCCCATATGTAACAAAGTATGAGAGTGAGCATCCCAGGATTAAATGTGTGTAATGGTAATTTCTATCATCACAACTGTGGAATAATCATGCTAGGATGGTGTAACAGTCTACTAGGAAGGTACTAGCTACATCTAAGTCTGGATTATATACAGAGGACAACTACCTGGGGTTGGTGTGCTAGGGGGGTTACCAGGGACATTGTTCGTAGGCACGTATGGCTTCAGCGCTTTGAACTGCTCGTCAGGGCCGCCGTATTTGTCCAGAATTTCTTTTGCTACCTGAAAGGTAAGCAAACTAATTATCCTGTAAAGAAATTCAAGCTTGTTCGGCTACAAACATTTTAACCCCTTGTGGTGGTGGCACTCTGTATTTTCAATCTGTCACCACACGATCACTGTATATCAATATGAGCTGACCTTATAAGTTTCGGTATTCATAACTTCCTCTAGAATCTTCTTCTTCTCTTCTCTCATCTTGTTCAACTTGGTTCTGTTTTTGTTCAGGGTCCAGTTGTAGTACCATGATATAGCCGACCTTAGGAATATCACTCTGAAACAGGATAAAGCTGCTTGTAAAAATAATAACTTAGTTATGCTTAGTTTATACTTAAGACTGCATTCTTTGAAGTGAAAACTTCTTTAGGCGCGTTGAGCGACTTCTGGTAGGAAATAAACTCGTTTTGACCAGGCTAGCGACGCGTAGTTCTATTGTTTTGAGTATTCACTTCTGTCGGCAGTCCTTATGCCTGTCTCGGTGTTTTTTTATGTAATAGAGGACAATCGAGCAACCGGGTCACAAGGCAGAATGTGACCGTCACCTGATGGTAAGTGGCTAACGCCGCCAATTGACATTCGTAACTCAAGAGATACTAGTGTGTTTAGACCCTTTGTGAAACCTACTCCCCACATCCCAATATGCTGGTGGTGTTTCCTCCAGTAATCTCCAGTGCGGTCGCGGTGCTGTGCAGTCAAAATAATAACGGAAATATGAGTTATATTAAAATCGTTGAATCATAAATATCCATCGAAACGCTCATCCTTCTAAAATAATCTAGGTAAGTTATGGTAGAGCGCTAATTTATATTCAATTCAATTTGGTATTATGTGCATTAAGAGCAATCGTGATGATTCGTGTGCTTGTTAACACACGAATCATCATCATTCCGCCGAGCCTTTTTCCCAAATTACAACGTAATTCTGCTTTAAGTCTACGATACGGCTGAACTTGAAGTTTGTTATAGTCTAGTTATTCATATACTTACAAAATCGGCAACACCAGTAACGGCGAGGCGTGCAGCAAGGAATGTAGCCAGTACTGGCTTCTTCCCACGTACATATAATAATACAAAATGGCGAACAACACGTATAGTCCAACGGAATACGCCATGACATATCCTATAACACGCTTATGCGTCTGCTCCTTGTATTGTCCATCTCTTTCTATCGATTTTATGTCTGTTTCGAGTCGTTCGAGGATATCTGTGGTTGTTTTCTTGCGCTGTAAAAAAAGAAGTTAATTACTTATAAACTTTTCTTGCAAGTTATAATAATATAGTTATGTTCATAGGAGTTAAAGCTATCATTTTTACAGGTACCATTGAATTGCATGACTTCGGTGAACCTTCATGCAATTTAAAGGATAATAAGATAATACCTAATAACACGATTTGTTAAAAAACCTTAAAAAGGAATCAACATAATACATATAGGTTGTGGAAATACCTGTAGATCTTTTTTTTTATACAGATATGTGTACGGCATAAATATATTTGCATAATAGTTGATTAGACTATTTGGAATAAGTATTAAATTCTTTGCAGGCAGTGTAAGAATAACAATTTAATAATACCGGAATAATATCAAATTTATACTTAAATCATTTTAATGAATGCCGGTTTAAAATGAAGAATGCCGCCAGCTTGCCGACGTTAGCCAGCAGAGCTAAACCTTCAAACCGGTAGTCATTCAAACCGATTCAAATAGGAGCAACTTCATTAATTCACAAAACAATCTTTTCAACAAACTTTTCACCTATTTACATTACATTTACAGTTTACAGTCAGATTCAGAAAATAATTAGATAGTTTATTTAACGCTCTAGGGGCCGTATAAGAAGAGAGACTTTATTAGAGGCAAAGAATAATAAGAACACCATTACTCTTAAGTTGTTTTGGGTACTGGTGTATATATATATATATATATATATATATATATATATATATATATATATATATATATATATATATATATATATACTCTTGTATATCTATATCTTATATATCTATATATATTATATATCTGGGTATATACTCTTGCAAAATAAGGTGATTAATTTTAATATTCATCTTCGTTATGATATATGGAACATTTTTTATCCTTAAATTAGAAAACAAAATTGTCTTTGGCAATAAAAGGCTAACAACCTACCACCACTTGTCACGTTGTTTTATATAGATATATATATATATACATTACAACAGACGGACAATACGATCAGTTTACTATTTATAAATCAGTTCCAGTCTACTGACATACTACAATGTACAATAACACGATCATCTGAAACTAATGTCACAATTATTCAGCGGATTCACCTGTGAGCTGAACTCTGCTCCATTGTAAATCTGACAAATATGAATGTTCCTTTTATTTATATCTGATAAAATAATAACGATTTAGTTATACAACTAGATTGAAATCAACAGTTTTCTATAATTAAAAACTAATTGTCAATCGTCAGGATCATCAATCATCATCAACAGCCTTTCATAACTGGCCTGACGGGTTGGTATAGGGTTGTGTCAAGTTTTACTTCTCTTTACAATGCTGTTGTCCTGCGTAGTTTGCACCCTTAGTCGGCTCTTACGACAACCACGAGAGGAACAGAGTTGGTGACACTCCGCATTCTTTATCCGTCACTCACGGATCGGCGGGATAGTAAGTGTTATATCAGAATGAAATTCGTTACTTTTCAGACAGGGACTAGCACTTTAACTACTTGAAAAAGTGAATTAATAAAGATAATAGCGTGTTCATTGGCCAAATCAAATACAGCGGTTACCCATCATTTTTATGGTTTCACATCAATACTTCAATTTTATCCAGTTAGTGGATCGGATCATTTCTGTACATGAACTGTGATAGGTGTCAACATCTCAAACAATGAAAGAAAGTAGATATCGCAGAGACTGTACACTCTCCGTTATGACGTTGGTCGATTACAAAACTTAAATTGGCATTTGGTCGGTGAAAGGCTATAACATCGTTAGTAAACATTTGGCTTTTATGAGTACTGGGCAAAGAATTCTTTCAGCAGCATTATTCGTAGTTTTGTAGACATCCACGGAGCCACATAATTTTAATAGCTAGATACAAATTGTGAAGTTCATATATATATCCTGTACATTACATCACATTAAACTTACACGAGCAACATTATTCTAATAGCAATTTACAAATTGTGAAGTTCAAATTATTGATTCAATTTATCGAGAAGGGTATCGAGAAGGGTATCGAGAACAGTACCTATAGTAAGATAGCTTTGAACATTACGCTACGATCCATAGGAACGAAGCAGTGATCATAAACGCAGATGAAACTGCGGGGAACGGGTATAACATAAAAAATACATTTTTGTAGTTATAATTCTGGCAAAATTTAAGACCTATTAAAGTAATATTTGGTAAAGATGCCAGTATCTCTATAAATTTCTAACGACGGCAATGTAGCCGCGGAGATGTAACTTTAAAAAGAAAACCGGTCAGGTACGAGTCGAACTCGTGCGCCGACGGTCCGTACCTACCCAGATTTTACGTAGATTTTCGCGTAAATTTGTAAGTACTAAAATTTACAGCACAAGTAAAGAGAAAATTCTGAAAAATAAAAAAAGTTGAAAATTAAGGTAAATTTTGGTATTTACAAGTTTTCGCGAAAATCGAAATTTGCCCATGTCTTTTTATCGTGTTGACTCAGGACCTTGATTTATACACCTAACAGGGACCATAGACCTCAGTATCTGGTATAAATTTCAACTTGCTAGGTCTACCCGTTCCTGAGAAAATCGGTGGTGACACTCGGACAGACGGACAAGAAAGTGATCTTATAAGGGTTCCTTTTTTACCTTTTGAGGTAAAAATGCACTAGAAGATCTAAATACAGCGCTTGCGTCAGTTATTCACATGTTATTGATTCACCCGCAACTATATCTGCTGTAATATTGGTTATCTCATATACAGATCTGGTGGTATTATGATAATAATATTTAACCTATATTTTTACTATCTCGAATGAATTTTATAAATAAAAAATAGCTAAGAAATATATAGATAATGTGGCAAATTCCTGCCTCAATCAAGTTTTCTAATAGTGGCAAATATTTCTCAAAAGTAAGTACAAATTTTACGTCGAAGGTCGTGAACTTCATTCGCGACTTTTAATTTGCAATAGAACTGAAATAGTAACCTGTCGATGTTAGGAGGTAAAAGTCACCTATCACTGACTGGTGGATACCCAAGACCTGGACGGTGTGGAAGTATATGTAAGAAATGTAAGATTGCCATGATTTGTTCTCCTATAAGTAAATGGGGTTAAGTGAAAGGCTAAATCTAAAGCTTTGTTAGGGCTTTCGATATTTTCCGATACATGTTTGAATATTTTGTTCACTTCTGGTAACGCTAACGATTTCTTCATTTTAGGCGCAAAGCAAAGTACATGAGAGAAATTGGCTTAAATAAATAAACTATTTGGTATTAGCTATTATCGGTTCTTCTCACGTCAAACTGATAAAGGTGGTGTTTCGTCAAAATTAAACTTGTAGCATGTGATATGATATGGTATTTTAGTACGGAATACGTAATCCATAACGGTAACATAAAATAGGACTGATAACCTAAGAATATATAGCTAAACCTGGTCATGAATGCCCGCTTTGTTAAGAAATTTTACGTATAAAGGATTCATCATGCCTTTTTTTTTACTTCATACCTGAAACCCCTCGGGCCGTCACCCCACCGGGGTTTACGGCGAGGTGGTGTGTCGGAATTGGACCGACTAAAACCACACGGTGGGCCACACTGTGCGCCTGTAATAGGAGGGATACGGGAACTGCTGTTTTTAAGACATCCGGACCTCTCCTAGCGCCTGCAGCAACGGCGCGGGCACCACCTTCGGGTAAATTCTTTATTTAGGTGACGTCCCATGCTGCCGCCCTGCCCATTCGACGATAACCAGCATCCACGGCGGCAAAGCCAACACGTAGTCCCTCCAACCGGGACGACCAACGAGCCATTGTGGCTCCGCGATCGGCCTCACGCCACTCGTGTATACATTCGGGCGGGGGCCGACTGCCACTACCCGCCTGCCAAAGGATTCATTATGTCTAGATTAACATATGAGTTCAACAAACTTCATATATCTCTGTTATTTTTAATTTATATACAAAACAATAAATGGAAACAAAGTAATGTACGTATGTATGTAAATACTGATTCAGAACTTTATTTTAATAACCGATTAGGTTCTTTTAAAAAAATTAAGCAATCGTAGCCAGGTCAGTCAATGGATGGGTTGATATGGCTATGGATGACACGGAGACCTGGAGAGCACGTTAAGCCGGCGGTCCCGGTTGTCATACGAACATCTCTGGCAATCGTCACGGGTAGTTGGACCCTAAAAATTTTGACAACAGTCTTTCTACAGAACATCGATATCGCCTGTGGTACTTGTGTTGTGGTGGTCTGATGGCAGTCGCTCTGCGTAAAAAATCGAAGTTCAGCCGTGTCGTTGTAGACATAAAGCCGACTCAAACCTAGATTGGGAAACAGGTTCGAAGGAAGATTTCAAGAAGCGATGTTAAGAATTCAATACATGTTATGTGCTGCGAAGATCTCATCATAGTAGAATACAACGTATCCACCTTTAGCCAGAGTTTCATAGGAAGATGAATATAATTGTCAATAGTGACCCACGGACCCGCCTAACATCAGAGTGAATGTTTACCAACTTTTAGAGTATAGAAAAATTAAAAGACCTAATACCCCAAACTAAGAATAGACGAAGATAATAAGGTATGTAGGGCTGGCAACAATTTGATTAACTGGTGAGCCAGAGGTCGTGATTATTTGTTCAATTATTTCCGTGTTTGGGTCTAATCAATCTATCAAATGTATATATTTAGAAAGGCTTATCAGCAGTCCGATTAGTACAGGTTCGGCCTAGTTTGGGATTGGACTGCCATGTGAAGGATGACTCAAGTTCTTATTGTATTTTAGTAAATTAATAGGGTAATGAACCGACGAGACCGTGAAATATTTATTTATTTATTTATACTTCCTGCAAATACATTGCATAAGGCAGACTTAAATATCCTCATTAAAATGGATAGACGATCAAAGAATTAGGGAGCCGTTGAATTAAAGTGACTCTTAAACATATAATATTAATGATATATGTCAGGCTAAGGAGGCAAACTACGCAGGGCAACAGCACTGCAAAGAGAAG